TCAGTGCCTTGACGTGTTTCATCCAAGAATTGTTTTAGATATATTTTTTTACAATGTCCGTCTTTCATACATGGGGACTTCTGGTTCATAACGCCGCAAGGTCCGTGGATCATATGTTTTAGAACCGCTTCATGCAACTGTGGTTCACATTCTAGCTTAGGTATTTCTGCTCTTATCACACTATCATACTCTTCTGGGCCACACAATTTGTCGTTACTTTCTAAGACCAACAACGTATGCACATGCGACAATCCTCGTTTTTGAAATTCAATGACATACATGTAGCTTTTAACCTTTCCTAAGACTCCTTTATTAATAACATCATCCTTTAATTGCTTGAATTTCGAACGAAATATTCTTGTTAGCAAATTTGGACGATCTTGTGGTGTTTGAAAAGGCAAAAGTTCTGATGTTATCTCACTCCAAGAAGGATTTCATGTCATTGTCAGAAAAACATCTGGTTTACCGCCATGAAGAACAATAGCCATGCCATCTTCATAGCGTTGTGTCATGTCTCGACGACCTCCAATAAATGATGATGGCAATATTTTTCTTTTTCCAATGTTTTTTATGGTGATTCATGAAATGTATTAGTTTCAGAATACATGAAAGATTATCATTATAAGTACAACAACTAATTAATAATCTATTAATATATATTTATGCTACATTATTTAGTACCTGCATTAGTTTCACCGACATGCAAAGCATCCTGTAAACCTTGGTACACTTCAGCACGTATATCGCGTTGGTGCTCTCTAATCCACCTTAACCTCCCTGATTCAATTTTGACATAATTGTCTACAACACATTGTTGCAATAGCCGACCCGCATTTAACAACATTGATTGATCATTTGGGCGAATCTACAATTGATTGAAAAATATGTCGGTGTTAAAAGTGATGTGTTTTAAACTACGCTTATCTAAGTATACTATTTACTAAAATTAATCTAAATTTACCTGAAGCATGTAACTGTAATATGCTCGACATGACAATCTTCGTCCATTACAATTTATTGTGTTAACGTTCCAACCATGTGTCCCAAAAGGAAACAATATAGGATACTGCAGCGGATCACAATACCCCTTTGTCTCTTGAACTTTCTTTAGATTTCCATCACGACGAATGACATTAATATCCCTTCCATATTCCATAGAATCTGAATCTCCTCCAACAATAATTGTCGCAACTTGTTCTGCAGTTGGAAGATTATATTGATGGTGATTACTTGGACGCTCTTTAAGTATGAAGTTGCATTCACCGATATTTGGAAGTTGTGATAGTTGTCTGAACCTAATTACAAAAGGATTAAACTGATGGAGCATTTTTTATAATTTGTGAACTACATTTTGATGGAGTTGTGGATTTTCCTGCATTCTATTATGTAGCTCATTATCTATGTCGTAGATGTATAGTTGTAAGAAACGCGATCTGGCACCCTCATTTGGATAGAAACCTCATATGTTATGGTAAAAAGCACCTTGAGCACGAAATGTATATATACCACGACCAAATGCAAGAATATTCTAGTGAATGAGAGCACATGGTTGTAACTTCGAATATGTTGCCTAAAATGTCTTCCTTCTACTGAACCATCCAAAAATAATTGTTGCAATTCTATAGGAGCATTAACTCGTGAGAATGATACCTTTCCACCAGTACAACATATATCACGTGATTCATGATGAAACAATTTTGCATTGCAATATCTACAGGAAATTGGATTAGGCAACCGGGACTTTGCCATCATCGAATTATTTTTGAAATTTCGAGCAATATTGTGTCTTGCTCGAAAAACGCGTCCTGATTCTACAAGAAGGAGTTTGATATTGATTACTAAATCTTATTTAAAATCTAAAATATAAATAAATAATTAACGCAATATTCCTAAATTAGAAGATTTAGCATTGCATAATTTTCAGTTTTATGTCACTTGAGTATAAGCTACATTATTTGGCAGAAAAATGTTTATGAACATACTTTGAGGACGACATGATGCACCATCATTTATTGCTTCCACGTTAACATCTGATATTACTGCATCCTCCAAAGCTTCATCAATATCCATATCGCCTGATACAAAAATAATAATAAACATATATATATATATATATATATATATATATATATATATATATATATATATATATATATATATATATATATATATATATATATATATATATATATATATATATATATATATATATATATATATATATATATATATATTGAAATTACTGCTCGTATATGTAGAACAATATCTTGTATACCTGTAGCAGAGTGACTATTGTTGATACGTTGGTTAGGTGATGTGAAATTATGATCTGCGAGTTTAAATACATAAAATGAGAGATGACAAATAAACAATATTATACAAAGTACGATTATAATGTCTATATTGATCATCACCAACCAAGTGCAACATCATTAACATGTGTAATTCTACTTGGGCCGACTTCATTGTCATGAGTTCCTTGAAAGTGTGATATTGGAGATCTCATATTTGTAAAATTTTGAAATGGAACTCTCCTCCGACTGTTCATAGTGCGAGATGTTTGAGCTTGTTTATCTTGCTCTTTTCGCCGCCTATAATTGTCACGTTGTATTGATAAATAATTTTCTCTTTGTTCGAGGTTCATGTTTTGTCTCATCTTCCTTTCATTTTTGGCCCTTCTTGCCCTTTGTTGTTGACTTGATATCTGACGGGTATTATTTTCCATTTTGTTAATGTAACTGCCAACACATATACAATTTATATGCAACATAATTTCACTAATTATGTTGAAAAATATTGGTAAATATAAATGGGATTTAAAATAAATATATTTGTTTTTGGAAAAAAGAAGTTTACACCAAGAAGTATTATTTGTAAAACATATGTTAAAAATATAAATCAAAACTAAAATATAAAAAAGACGAAGAAGAAATGGGTAATCAATAAAAAGAAACATAAATTATGTTGGACAAATAGATGAAAAGATTGCATATTAACTAAACATTAAAATATAAAATGGGGTAAGAAATGAAATTAGTGTAACTTAATTATATGAAAACTACTACTACAAAAATAAATTATATGAAAAACTGAGTTAATTTAAGTTATAGATAAAAGATATATTAATTAAAAAAATAATAAGAAAAGATAGTGTTATAGTAACTCATATGAAACTTTGAATAGTGAATTATCTCAAAAAATGTCTTAAAAACTTGATGAAAGCCACAGTTTTCATGTCAAATATTTATGTTAGCTGGATTAGCCAACGTAAATCTTTGTGTGTTCTCTATCTTTTTCCTAACGTTCTTACACTTACAAAGATGTGATGAATGTTTAATAAATTCATTCAATTATATTTATAAAAAAATACCTGACAAAAATAATATCAGAATGAGTTTGTTGAGAGCTTTGATCTACACTAATAGAGGTATGCACGGTTTGACAAAGAAAGGGAGAGAGAGATATGATTAATTTGCAAATAGCTTGACAAATTGAGAGAAATAGGTTTTAAATGGCTTGGAGAGGGACTCACTTTGCATAGAGGAGTTAGTATGAAAGTTAATGATAGGAAGGACTATGGAGATAGTGGGAAGTTATTTGTTACAGTTATTATTTAGTATTATTATTAAATAAAATCAAGTGAGAAATTAAGCATTAAGGTAAAGGGTAAATATGGAATAAAAATATGAAATTAAGCATTAATGAAGGGTAATTGTGGAACAAAAATAGGCCACACCAAAAAGGTGTATCCATGTGTTCCATTTATCTTTAAGAGTGAAGTACAAGAATTGAAATATAGTTCAAATTGTAAAAAACATAAAACCGTAAATAGTTCAGAATGCAGTAAAAACTAAAAATAAAACTAAAGTTAATCAGTCCTTCTGTTGCTTCAAGTTGTCGAGCTGTTTAGTAAGGCAATCGAACTGCTCACAAACTACGTCCATGAAGGTCGTGACTTCCATTTGCAATGTTGTTAGCTCTTCCTTGATTTGAACTTGATACACGTAAAAATTTAAATGATATTTTTTTATTTTATGTTGATTTTAAATAGAAGTTAAGTAAGAAGTTAATAGTAGAAAGTTATATAAGAAATTAATAGAAGTTATTGAGTAAGTTATTGTGTTACACCAAAACACAATGTTTTTCCTTTATATATGTTATAAATATTTAAAGACAAAATTTATTTTTAGGGTAGTCTACTTTTGTTTCAGTTATACCTTTTTCAGTTTTTGTTTTAAATTTTAATTTCTCTTTTAATAACTGATCTACGATGGTTCGTATATCTCTTTCATTCTACTTTTTTTAATAATTATTTTATAAATAATTTAATTAAAGTAAAAAATAAATACACAAAAAAATACCGTTTATATTTTGACCTGCATTAATAAAAGCGGAGGAGTGCCCGTTTGGACGTCGAAGGCTTCGACAAGGAAAGTCAGTTCTTGGTGCCTAGCAAACCAGTTGAGAAATTCAAATGGTATCATAAGCCGGGAACTGTGTCATCACTGACAATTATTTAGAAAAACGTGGGAATACATCGAGAGAAACCACTATATGGACTTGGGACGTGTCACCATATGAGTAGTCCATCATTTTTAGACAATTATTGTAGAAGTATAAGGACAGTTAGGTTCATTTTGTACAGGGTCCGCAATTATAATTATATATTGTATAAACATCAAGTCACATATTGAGCATTGTGACTTTAACCGAGCTTCTTAAGTGACGAGGACAATCCAAATACCCGTGAATGCGATAATACACTGTGTATTACTATTACACTCCGAAATTGCGCGCGCATTGTCATTCTAATGCTCTGCAATCATTTTCATCATCCCTCAAAATCTACTCTTTCTATTTTCCAACTCTTCATTCCCAATTCCCCTTCCATGCTGTGATAATTTTCTTATTCTTTCTCTCCATAGCATCTTTTTGCTTCACACTTCACAAAACCAAATTCACTTTATCGTTTTTAATTCAGATTTCAATCCAAAACAATCATGGCGGAAGGTATTTACTTCCATCTCTACCTCTTTTGTTGAATTTCAAATCTGGATTGTTCTAATATCTAACTGTTTCGTGTGTTTTTTCTCTTTAAGCTTTGTGCGTTATGCTTCAACTCAACTTTACATTTTTATGTCGATTCACTTCTTGATGCCTATTCCTTTTACCTTTGATTTACAGGAGGAGATAACGGATCTCCAAAATCTTCGCCATTGACACCATATGAAGAAGCACTGGAAGCCCTGTCATCTTTGATTACTAAACGTACTCGGGTTGGTGATGTCAACATGGAGGAGCGATTCAGCGTGCTATTTCAGTATTTAAAGGTACGTTAACTGTTTGTGAATTTTCTTTCAATATATTTGGTCACTTTGTTGGAAAAATGTTTACTTGTTTGGTGATGTTATTTATGGCGTGTTTGATTCGAAAGATGCTTGAGTTGGAGGAGGCAATTTCAAAATTGAAGATTATTCATGTTGCTGGTACTAAAGGGAAGGTACTTTCATTAATTTAACTTTGATAGACAATTACTTAAAAGGGAAAAGTGAAACCATGTTGAAAGTTCGTGAATGTATTAGTTAAATTTGCCAAGACTTTAAAAATATAATTGCTGCTTTTGAAAATTAACATGATGTATGTATGTTATGAATTTATGTTCCATACTGTTCAATGAGAATTTCAAACTGTTGCAAAATATTTCACTAATGGAATTAAAAGTTCTGCTTACAATGTTGCAACTACATGCTTTAAATAAGAGAGAATAGAAAACCTAATGGGTTTTGACTAATGGGTCTCATTACTAATACTACTAATTACAATTTACAGTCTAATATTTACAATACTCCCCCTCAAGCTGGTGAATGGATATCTATCATTCCCAGCTTGCAAGTAAGTTGCCTGAATCTTTCTGTTGGTAAGCCTTTTGTTAACACATCTGCAAGCTGATGCCCAGAAGGAACGTAAGATGTAGTTATCAGCCCACTATCCAACTTCTCTTTGATAAAATGTCGGTCAATCTCAATGTGTTTAGTCCTGTCATGCTGAACAGGATTATGAGCAATATTAATAGCCGATTTATTGTTACAAAACAATTCCATAGGGCCTTCACACTGTATCTTCAAGTCTTCTAGAACTTGTTTCATCCATAATAGTTCACAAATTCCTAGTGACATAGCTCTAAATTCTGCCTCGACGCTTGATCGAGCAACTACACTTTGCTTCTTACTCTTCCAAGCTACAAGGTTACCACACAGAAAAGTACAATAGCCTGACGTAGATCTTCTGTCACTCATTGAGCCGACATAATCCGCATCAGTGTAAGTCTTCATAGCTAAATTCTCACCTCTTTTAAACAAAAGTCCTCTCCCTGGAGTTGCTTTAAGATATTGTAGAACGCGGTCTACAGCCTGCAAATGTCTCACCCTCGGATCATGCATGAATTGGCTCATCACACTGACTGCATATGCTAAATCTAGTCTAGTGTATGCCAAGTAAATCAATTTTCCCACTAATCTCTGATATTGACCCTTGTCAACTTTGTCACTTTCCTCCTCAAAGCTTATCCTGTGATTTTGTTCAATGGGAACACTTGCAGGTTTGCATCCAAGTTTGCTAGTTTCCTACAAAAGATCAAGTACATACTTCCTTTGAGAGATAAAGATGCCTTGCTTTGAGTAGGCTACCTCAATTCCCAAGAAATTTGAGTTGTCCAAGGTCTTTCATCTCAAACTCTGCCGATAATTTCTCTTTGAGCAAATGTCTCTCAGTCAAATCATCTCCTGTAACAATAATATCATCAACATAAACAAGAAGTACAGTCAATTTTCCTTCCTGTAAATGTTTAAAAAATAAAGTGTGGTCTCCTTGACTTTGCTTATAGCCCAAACACACCATTGCCTTTGTGAATCTTCCAAACCATGCCCGAGGGGACTGCTTTAGTCCATATAAGGCTTTCTTCAATTTACACACCTTGTTAGCTTCATTTGTTATGCCAACACCCGGTGGAATCTCCATATACACTTCTTCCTCTAAGTCTCCATGCAAGAATGCATTTTTAACATCAAACTGTTGCAATTCCCATCCACATGAAGCAGCAAGAGATAGTAAAATTCGAACAGTGTTCATTTTTGCCACTGGGGCAAATGTCTCCTCATAATCAATACCATATGTCTGAGTATAACCTTTTGCCACTAGTCTTGCCTTGTACCGATCAAGTGTGCCATCAGATTTATACTTTACAGTATAGATCCATCTGCATCCAATCGGCTTTTTGTCTCTTTGCCTTTCAATAATCTCCTAAGTACCATTTTTTTCAAGTGCTCTCATTTCCTCATCCATAGCTTGGACCCAATTTCTATTTTGCAATGCTTCTTCAACTGATAATGGGATTTTCACAGAATCAACAGCTGCAATAAAACTTTGATATTGTGTGGAAAGATGTTTAGTGGAGACATATTGAGATATAGGGTGTCGATATACGGAGGGACAAGATCTTTTATCCTTCCTCAAAGCAATGGGTAAATCAACTGGATTAGTGTCACAAGTATCATAAATAGAACAATCATCATTTGAGGAATCATTTTCAGTACTTACCTCCGGTTCAGACGATTGAATTTGTTTCTGGAGAAGGTCAGATTTACTTCTTCTCTGATACACTAGAGTTGGTGCTGAAGGTGCTGATTCCTGTGGAACATAAGGCATTGAAGGACCAGGAACAATTACTGACTCAGATTCAGGTGTTGAACTAGGACTCAAACTCAAACTAGGTGACAACTCGGGTTCAAGAGAGGGAACACTGACAGGTGTTCTCGGGAGGCTAGGACCAAGGATCAGAAACTCGGACTCAGACTCTAAGTCATTCATGTTCTCCCCCTGAGACTGAGAATGAGTGAAGTATGACACATTTTCATGAAAGGTGACATCTTTGGAGATAAAGAATTTCCGACTCGGAGGATGATAACATTTGTACCCTCTTTTATTGGGTGCATAACCAAGAAAGATACATCTGACAGCACGGGGATCCAACTTGTTGCGATATTGTTTGTGAACATGAACAAAAGCAACACAACCAAACACGCGAGACTCAAGATTATGTAAGATAGGAACAGAGGGAAAACGTGAGAGCATAAATTGAGCAGGACTAATATTACCTAACACTCGAGATGGGACCCGATTAATCAGATAGGCAGCAGTAAGAACTGCCTCCCCCCAATAAGAGGTGGGAACAAACATTTGAAAAAGGAGAGATCGAGAAACTTCAAGTAAATGACGATTTTTTCTTTCTGCGACACCGTTTTGTTGTGGGGTGTCAACACATGTGAATTCATGAAGAATGCCATGTTTACTAGTGAAGTTGGAGAAGGTATGATTGACATATTCTTTACCATTGTCAGAACGAATTCTTTTTATACATTTCCCAAATTGTGTTTGTACCATATTATAAAATTGGATAAATATTTGTGGTACTTCGGATTTAGTATTCATCAAGAAAATCCAAGTTACCCGAGTACAATCATCAATAAATGAAACAAACCATTTTGCACCAAAAATATTAGAGGTAGAGGCAGGTCCCCAAACATCAGAATGAAGCACATCAAAAGGTTTAGCACTTTTATTAAAACTGGAAGGAAAATTTACACGATTGTGTTTTGCCAACTGACAAACATCACACTTAAAAGACTCAACAGAATGGTTTAAGAATAATGACAGAAACATAGACTTAATTATATAAAATGGAGGGTGACCGAGACGCTTGTGCTGAAGCCAAATTTGTGAGGCTGAAGAGGAAGACTGAGACTGGAGACAGGAGGACAACACCTTTGGATGGTCATCAGAGAAGTAGTATAACCCTTCCTTTTCCTTAGCAATTCCAATCGTCTTCCCCGTGGTAAGGTCCTAAAAAACACAATGGGACGTAAAAAACATTACTTTACAATTTAGATCACGGGTAAGCTTATGGATGGAAATCAAATTGTGGGAAAGTGTGGGAACATGAAGCACAGATTGCAACTGAAATGGAGGTTGCAAGTCAATATTTCCAGTGCCAACAACACAAGCATGAGAGCCATCAGCAACAGTGATATAAGGAATACTCGAAGGTGTGGTATAAGAGCATAATAATGTGGAATCAAATGATATGATTAGTAGCACCAGAGTCAAGAATCCACGCATTCTTAGGGATATTACCACAAACAGTAAAAGATCGGGAACACAAACTCTTACCAGTAACTGCTAGAGACCCGGAACCAGAAGGCTTACTCATGGAGTCAAGCATAGACTTCAACCGTTCCACGTCATTCTGACTGAAGGAGGAAAGATTAGTTCCCCCTTTTTCAAATATTTCAGTATCATGGGCATGTGTGGCAACATGTGCCTAATGCTGGTGCATGTTGCGAGAACTACCTCCTCGGCTAAGAACCTGTTCCCCCCCATGTAGTTTGAAACACCTATCCTTTGTATGCCTTGATCGGTTGCAATGCTCACAATAGAATTTGTCACGACCATTCTTAGATGATGATGATGGTGGTCCTTGTCTTGTTGTTTTGCTAGCTACTAGTGGTGACACATCCGTGGGCTGTTCATGAAGCATAGCTTGACGACGGGTCTCCTCACTACGAACAGTGTAAAAAACTTCATTAAGATCAGGAAATTTTTCCTTACCCAAAATCTGCACCCGAATAGGGTCAAATTCAACATTAAGGCCTGCTAAGAAATCAAAGATCCTATCCCGTTCAACAACAGTATTCAAGGTGGCAGTATCCTTGCTGCACTCCATCTTCAAATTCTGATATTGATCCAACTCAATCCAAAAACCATTGAGAACTCCAAAGTACTCGTTAACCGAAAGACTTCCCTACTTAGTGTTGAATATTTTCCTCTTTAAATCATAACAAGCAGACATATCTTGTTTCATGGAATAACTTCGACGAAGATAATCCCAAATTGCCTTTGCACTTGAGAGATACATGCAATTTCTACTAATTTTTTGAGATATAGAGTTCCAAAGCCAAGTAATAATAGCAGAATCATCTCTATCCCAGGAAGGGAAATTAGGAGCAGTAACCAGAGGAGGATTTCCTTCAATATGATCTAGCATGTCACAACATTTTAGAGTGTGTCTGATGAACTGAGACCATTGAAAATAATTTTTTCCGGTAAGCCAGTAACCTTTTTGAACGAAAAAATCCTTAGCATTAAATGGGGCTGGTGGATTTGTGGGAGGTGGAGGCGAAGGTGGCTGTTCGTTAATAATCTCGGCCATTGAAGGGACAATCGAGAGGAACAAACAGCAGATATGTATTGAATCACAAAGAAAAAACACAAAATATCACAAAAAACAAGCAGTGTAGGGTTGCAAAGATGAGTGAACGGTGAGAGATGTGAAGCAAAGCCAAGAAATAGAATGTGTTGCAACACAGAACAACAATGATCCAAACACACAAAAAACAAACTGCAAGGATGACCGGCAGTGAAAGAAAAAAAACTCCGTTACAATGGCAGCTAGGGTTTATGCGGAAGCGAGACCCCCAAAAAACAGGAGCTCTGATACCATGTTGCAAAATATTTCACTGATGGAATTAAAAGTTCTGCTTACAATGTTACAACTACATGCTTTAAATAAGAGAGAATAGAAAACCTAATGGGTTTTGACTAATGGGCCTCATTACTAATACTACTAATTACAATTTACAGTCTAATATTTACAACACAAACTTATTGCAATAATTGACGTGGTTGTTTTGTGGTCTCTTAAAGGGTGTAGTGACCTTGGAATTTCAAGTTTCATGTATTTTTACTCTTGCATCTGTTATGATATGTATTTTGTTTCTGCATCTTGCTTCCATAGGGATCTACATGCACCTTCACAGAATCTATATTATGCAACTGTGGTTTTCGCACTGGGCTTTTCACTTCTCCTCATCTAATTGATATACGAGAAAGATTTCGTATAGATGGGTGAGTGTCTCATATATATTCATTGTCTTTATTTCCATTATTACTTATTCATTTACTTTTTATGATCTCAATCTCTTTTACTTTGTCTTGGGTCATAGAATTGATCATGAATTCTGATTAACCTCTTAATATTGAAATGGTTTTTAACAAATTAATCTCTCCTGTCGGAAGTTATTCATAGCAATAGCTTGTATATACAAGTATAGTAGCTTATTTGTGTGCTTAGTTGTAGAATTAGTTTTAATAACTGTTATTATAGTTGCTGAGTGAGCTAGCACATCCAGCTATATGCCTTTACAACTGAATAACATAGAGCCACTGAAGCTATCTCTTGCAAAGAAAGAACAAGCATTAATCTGAGCTGCAGCAAACACCTTTGATCCGAGTTGTACAACATGAACTAAGGAGGTTGAACAATTTCAGAACTCTTACTTCGCCTTAAGGCTATTATTCATTCCCTAACTCCAATTCCATTCTTGAAGGTCTTGATGAAGACTATGATCCTTTTCATCACTATGATTCATGATAGAATGGGTCCTATTCTGTAACTGACATAGGAGCACTTCTTCTGGCTAAAGAAGCTTGGTTAGGGAAGTTCACTAATCTACTGATTCAGATAAATCAGTATTCAGATGCATTCTGTAAATGTTACAAAAGTTTCTTCTTACCCTTTTGTAAGCTTCCTGTCAGTCCTTTGTTTCTTGAGTTGACTTTGAGCACCTTCCCTATGTGTTATCTTTCTCTCCTAATCTGATTATTTTGAGATCTTCTCAATTGAGCTCACATAACTGTATCAGTGAGCAACAATTGCAAGTTGAAAAACATGGAGATGACTTTGTTCTAGATCTGAAGTTGTATAGATTAAAAGTCGTGGCCTAACAATATGATACATTAACATAAGTGTGTCAACCTCAGTATCGAAAGTGCGTTTACTTGATGAGCTGTGAAGAGGTACTTTGTTTTCTAAAAGGATCTTATTTAATGGTTTATCTTTGTAAGTTGCAACCTGCTAAATCCTGTGAGCTTCTTACTGTTACACCCCAAAATTTGCCCAACTTTTTGCTTTAGCTGGCTTTCATTTCATTGCATTTATCATTGCATTCATAGCATTAGCATTTGCATACCATAGTCCATGAACAGGGGATTGAGAGGTGCGCGCTTATCAAGAGAGGGCTATCAAAGGTCTAAGCCTATTCAAGGGGTTATATTCAAGTCATCAAGGTCTTATTATCCTCAGAAGAATGTCAAAACCCATCAGAAGGAGTGGATTGGTTAAGAATGGGGCACCTCCTATCCTAGGGGTCATTTGAAGATTGTCAGATGAGTTTGAATCCATGGTTATGGGTGGAGAGTATTGTGAGAACTCATGGAGTGCCTTGAGGTTCATGGGGAGCTCAGTCAATCCATTATGCCAGGTATGAAGAGCCATAATTGAAGGTGTTGCGGTTAGGGTTTTGCCTGGTCAAACCTGAGTCCACTGTGTAATTGAAGAGGATCAAAGCTCAATTCTAAGTCTTTTTAATCATGGGGAGTTGCGTTGAGATACATGAGGTGATATTTCAAGATTAATCCAAGAAGAATTCAAAGTGTGAGGAGTTGCTAAACTAGGGTTCTTAGGGTAAAATCCCCTATTTAGTCCCTGGCTTCAAGACCACTTATCCCAAGATACAAGTTTTATACCAACTTTTGGCCAACATGAAACTTGTATAGCATGCTCTTAGCTTTAATTTGAGTACTAGAAGTCCTCCATTGGATTTATAGAACTCAAGTTATGATCCAGACAAGTTACAGGTCATCAGATGAATGTGAAATTTATCTGCAAAAGCCAACCAACGTCCAAGGAACTTTTGACCTAGAAGGGTGTTTCTCCTTAACTTGTATCCAACATGAAAGTTGTAGGGCTTGATCTTAGCTTTCCAAATTGTACTAGAAGTCTTCCATATGATTTGTAGAACTCAAGTTATGAGGTTTACAAGTCAGGGGTATTTTGAGTATTTGGAATTACAGGTCATTTTGAATCATGGGTCCATTTCACTATCTTGCAAGCTTCAAATGGAGTTTTATTCAACACCAAAGTTGCTCAAAATGATGTTTTTAGTCCAACCATGACCCAAACAACCATTTATATGGATTAGAGCAAGCATTGGTTGATGGAATTTCTCAAAAAAGGGCATTTTAATGAATTAAAATGGGAAAATTCAAAACAATTGTAATTTGGATGTTTTCAAACCATATTGGTGCTCATTTTGATTGGAAAAGAGATTTAAACCATTTGTCATTGTTACATTTTTGAATTGAGGTTTATAACATGGTCATTTGGTGGATTACTTCATGATGAAGCTACAAATCAAACACACACCTTAAGTTGAAATCAAGGCTGCAAACTAAATCAATTCCACTCCACAACTCTCAAGTAATTGAACTGAAGCAATATTGGAGTGATAGCAAGGCAAATTCGTGCATACCATAAGTGAAATTTTGAGAAAAAATTGAAACTTGGAATTGAGAAATTGGGCCATGAATGGGCCTCCAAAGGTTTCAAACAGAATATAAATTGATTGTGGATCATTTTCAGAAGCTTCTAGTGCCATTTTCGGTTGAGAAGCAGTTAGATCAATTTGTGGAAGAAGCTTGAAAGTGGATTTTCGAGTTTGGAGTTTGGAGCAATTTCAAGATCAACCAAGCATCTAAACTTGTTCATCATCATCCATTGAAGAAATCTGCACCTTTTGGAGGAAGAATTCGCCCTCAAGAACACCAAATTCGAAGCTTCCGATAAGGTTCTTGTTTCTCAAATTTTCTCTTAGTTTAAGCATAATTAAGTTAGTTTGAACATGCGGTTAAGTTGGTATTGAACTCTAGATGGATTTAGAATTGGTTTGGTGGAGTTTTATGACAATTTTTACCATGGCATCCCAAGTTGTAGTTCGAATATCTCTTTGGATAATGGATGAAAACGAAAAAGAATAGGATATTATTAATGTAGGAAGTGAGAGGAAGAGATTAGTGGCTTCGTTTTAAGTTTTCGTGAGAGTTGAAATTTCATGATAATTCTTGATGTCCATGGCTTCTTGAGTTTTAATGGAGGAAAGTTAAAATAAGTGGAAGATTTGGACTCTACGCAAAAAAACACGTGAAATCGGTTAAAGAAGCGCGCGAAACGGTGAAAAAATGAAGGAACCACGTCCTTGGGGAAGCCGCGCGGCGGCCGGAATGTGCAGGGCGGTGGCCGGAATCTCGCCGGCAAATTGGGGAAGACGAAGTGGAGAAGACGGCTCTGTGGCCGTCCGATGCGATTACCGTCATCATTCGCGGTCATGATTAGTCTCCACCATGTACTTTCTTTGACTAATCTCATGAGATTACTTGGACTTCATTAATGTGTTGTCACTCTCCTACCCCTTGGATGGCTTGACTTAGTCTACTGATCTCATGGCTGTAGGTTTTTCTGCATTTCTTTATTTCCTTTAATTGTTTTTATTTCTTCTTTAATTGCTTTGTTCATTTTAATTCATAAAAAATAGTAAAAATGCTTAGAAAATTATGAAAAAATTTATGGATGATCCTCATCATGTCTAGGATTTTTTAGTGCAATTAGATGTTATTTTCGTTTAATTTTCAATTTAATTTCGTTTTTCCCCTTTAATTGGATAATAAAAATACCAAAAACTGCATAGTTTCTTGCTAATTTTTGTTCTGGAGTTTGGTATAGAATTAAGACTTGAAATTTTGTATGATGGTTATATACATGTTGATGATGTTATGAGATTTTTGTTATGATTTTTAGATGATTCTAAATAGTATTTTAGGATAGTTGTTTAGGAGTGTTCTTTGTTGGATCCCTTTAGTGTACCCTTGAGGTTTTAGATTTAGTTTGAGCCTTTTGATTTAGGTTTAGTCCCTGATTTTTGGACCATAGCATGTTGATACATGTAGGATAGTGTAGTATTTTCCTTGGAATTTTTAAGAATGATTTTCTGTTAAGTTCCCATTTTACAATTTGGCCTTAGTTTAGGTGATCCTAACTAGGTTAAGTGTATAGATTAGGCTTGTAAATAACCATTAGATGATTCTAGGTCCCATTTCCTTTCTTGATAGATTGTTAATTAGGTAGTTACCTCTTTTAGAACCCTTGAACCTTTAGGATAGATGTCCTTAGAAGGTATCATTTGTGGTGTCTTTAGAAGATCAAATAGGTGGATGATTCTTCCTATAGGGGTAGTTTCCTCTTCAATTTTCCTTGCTTGATTGGAATCCCCCTTGTGAGCATGTTTCCTCCTATGGAGGAATACATTGCCCCATCATAAAGGGGTTGAGTCCATGAAAGCTCCCTCTCTCTCTAAGGAAGTGGAGTTGGTTAAGTGTCTGTGGTAAATTCATGTGGAACTTACCTTGCTTCTCATCTCCATTCTCCTAAATTTCTCTCATTCATTTCTTTTTAGGAACCTTCTTGAGGTAGCATAGTCCCTCCTGTAGGGGGGAATGTTGCACATCCCTTGAAGGAGCCATACCTTTAGGATTCCCCCAAATCTCTTTTAGTTGGTTGAGTGCCTGGGATAAGTTCCTGTGGACCTTACCCTTGCCTCCCAACACCCAATTTCTTTCCGTAGGATAGAAGCCTTGTGTGATTACTTGTGGATTGAATCCATTATCTGTCATAAATCCTTGTCCTTATTCATTGTTGGAGTGGTGTGTTGCATTAGGACAATTCACTGTTTAGGATAGTCTAGTGTAGGAGCATGACTGCATTAAGAGGTTGAGTGGGTCTCCCTCTGCTTGTTTGCCTTAAGGGTTGAGGTGGTTCTCCCCTTGCTTGTATGTTGTTTTCCTTTTCTAATTGACGTATTTGCATATAGAGGTTGAGTCTGTTTCTCTCTGCTTGTCTGTTTTGATTGTTTTTCTTTTTGGTTGAGTGCTAAGAAGTTGAGTTCGTCTCCTTCTGCTTGTTTGTTGTATCGCATGCATTTTACTTACAATTATTTCTTTACCGTTATTGCTTTTTCT